TGAAGGAGTTACTGCCATCATCATTCTCACCCATTGGGTGTAAAACGACTAATGCAGCAATTTTATTTCGTGCAGCTGATTATTTAAATCAATTAAAAAAGGAGGAAGAAAATCTGAATGAAACACTTTCTCAGTTAGCTGCGCAGGTTTGTATTCTGTCACAAATTTCTTTTTCACTTATTTTATACTTTTTTTTGGAGGGGCGTTTTTTCAGATAGTTTTGCTTATTTAGGTATCAGCACTTGAACTTATCGCCAAACAATATGAAAATATGGCAATAAACAGTTGTACATCTAACAAATCTTCTATTCAGTGTCAAATTGTGAGTAGTTTTTATTTTAAAGAGTTGAAGATCAAATTTTTGGTTAATTTTTTTTTGAAGATCAAATTTTTGGTTAAGTTATTTCATGTTATTGATTTTCCATTATTTTGTCCAAAAAAAAATATTTGTGGCCGAATATAGTTATTCTATTAAATCATATGTTTTCTGAAGAAATCATCTAACAGAGTAAAATGTAACGAATCACTTAATTTTGGTTTTTATCATTTCTAGAATATTGTTATCTTTTAATCTATGGTCAGCCTTAATAATTTTAACGTGTGATTAATCTTTTCCGTACTTAGAATCATTTTCAGATTCAAGCCTTTCTTGATTCGTGTTTTGCTTCATTTCGCAGACAAGTAAATGTTTCTAGCTTACAGTCCGTAATAGAGACACTGCTACCTTGGGTGGAAATTGTAGATTATGATGTTAGTTTGCTTGTTATTCTTTTTATCCTAATATTTCAGGAGACGAGAAATCTCGTGAAAATTTTCGTTTAATATGGTATTACTAACTGCTTATACAAGTATAATTACACATATATATTTTTTTTTCAGAAAATTTCTCGGGATACGTTAGACGCCGTGTATAAATGTTGACAATGGATAGTTCAATGCTGTTCGTTTACTAAAGAAAAGTGTCATAGATATGATTAGCTTATTACCTTATGTTCATAATAATTCATTTTTTTTTCCTCATTTCTCATATTCATTTATACATTAGTTCTGCTAACTAATAGTCTTTAAGTTAATTGTGATTATTCGACCATTCAGTAACTACAATTCTCCTCGGAAATAATCATATCTCATTAGAAAAGATTATTTATATGAGTGCTTACAATAATCAAAATTATTCCAACTAATCTATTTTGTTTGTAATTTCTGATAGATATGTTGTGAATCAGCCCTTCAATTAATTTCTTCAGTTTCTTTTTTTTTCACTTTTTCTTGAAATTGTAGAAAGTTTAATTCATTTTTGTGATTAGAATTATTTGCGCAAATCATCCTTGTATAGTTACGTCGTAACATTTACTGCCTTCAATATGTACTTTTCCGGTATTTTTTTTGCCGGAGAATTTGAATGGAAATTAGTAGAATTCCTTTACGCAAGTAAAGTCTTACTTTGGCATATATGTATTGCATGACGTGACGCACGTGTTTGAATATAAGTTTTTATTATTTTTGGATGGCGAATTTGTACAAATAATCATAAGAAGGTAAAATGGAATAAAAATTTAAAATCAATGGAATAAAAATGGTTAACTAATTAAATGAAAAGAGATGAATTAACTTTAGCTATACTTGGAATTAGATTTCATTTAAACCTTGGTTTAAATTCGTGAGTTTTCAGTTTTAATTTAGGATTAAAGAAATTGACATATCGACTACAATTCATATTTTAATCTTTAGATACTTCAGATAGGTTAGGGATAGATGGTTTGGATGCGATATTTTACTTAGTTAAATTTTAAGTTAACCTTTGAGGTGAAAAAATTTTTAGACTACTGGTAGTTAAATTACCAAAATTATTGGTTAGGTAAATGGAAGCTTTACAATGATTTATATAACGGAAGTTTGATATCTGGAGATCGAGATTGTTGGTGATAGATAGGTTTATTAATGATTTGAATATTTTCAGCTAATTTTTGCTTTAATTCCTTTTAATTTGATCTATTTTACATCTTATCATTTTCTTTTTCCAATACAATTCCATTTCCGTTTTTTTTTTTTTTTTTTTTTTTTTTTATCCGGAAAGCCAGTAGCAATTATACTATTATCGATTCTTCCGAGTTTTTTTTTTTTCTCATATCAATCAAGTTAAACATTCTCTTATTTGATTTTGCCGCCAGCTTAGTACACATTCATTAATAAGTAAACTAGTAGAGCCGAAGATGAATAGGTCAAAGGGCAATAAACAGATATATGTTATATTGTGCTAATAATACTCATCCTGTATTCTTTCAAATGATAGCATAAACCAATTCAACGTAATAAATTGCGAAAAAAAAAAATGAAAAGATAAAAATCGATTATTTATAAAATTTTCATTTTTAATCCTTCCTTACTTTCTCTTCTCTTCTCTACTTTTGAAACGAATTTAAAATTTCTCAAATTTCCTTTCCCTTCCTTTCGTTTTCTCAGCAGGATGAAAAAAGTTTTTACCTCAAACTAAATGTTTGTTTATTTCTTCTCTTTTTTTTTTTTTTTTCTGGACATTATCTAATTTGTTTCATTAAACTGTAACTATGTTATGCTTATTGATAGGTATATTTCTCTCTCTCTTTTCTATCAGAAGAATACTAGGCTACCAAAGGTATATTTCTATCAGAAGAATACTAGGCTACCAAAGGTGTATTTCTATCAGAGGAATGCTAGGCTACCAAAGGTATATTTCTACCAGAGGAATGCTAGGCTACCAAAGGTATATTTCTACCAGAGGAATGCTAGGCTACCAAAGGTATATTTCTACCAGAGGAATGCTAGGCTACCAAAGGTATATTTCTATCAGAAGAATACTAGGCTACCAAAGGTATATTTCTACCAGAGGAATGCTAGGCTACCAAAGGTATATTTCTATCAGAAGAATACTAGGCTACCAAAGGTATATTTCTACCAGAGGAATGCTAGGCTACCAAAGGTGTATTTCTATCAGAGGAATGCTAGGCTACCAAAGGTGTATTTCTATCAGAGGAATGCTAGGCTACCAAAGGTGTATTTCTATCAGAGGAATGCTAGGCTACCAAAGGTGTATTTCTATCAGAGGAATGCTAGGCTACCAAAGGTGTATTTCTATCAGAGGAATGCTAGGCTACCAAAGGTGTATTTCTATCAGAGAAATGCTAGGCTACCAAAGGTATATTTCTATCAGAGGAATACTGGGCTACCAAAGGTGTATCAGAGAAATGCTAGGCTACTTGGCTTATCAGAAACTATCACGCCAAGTTCTCAAAAAGTATTAGGCAGTTTGGAATATCCATCTGATGTGAGCGTTTTTTGTGGTCGTAACTATTCGGATAATCAAAGTGATGATTATAAATATGACAGTGGTTATGATAGTGATGTGGAATTTTTCCTTGGTTATTTCTTTTTTTGAACTTCATTTCTTTGTAAATTTTATTTCGTTGATTATCGTTTCACTTGGATATTGGATAATATCAATTAACTTTTTCCTCTGTTTATTTAAATTATCATTGATGCAATTAAGTGGGAGAATCACTGATAGAACTGTATTGTAATCTTTCAGATCGAAATTCAACGATTTTAACTGATTAAATAATTATGATAAATGATATATCTCATGTTTATTCTCTCCTGATCATAAAAAAAAAGGTAAGTTTGACCAATATCGAATACTTTCTTTTTCTAGTTAATTGTTTTTTTTTTTTTTTTTTTTGGGGGGGGATTGTATTCCATTTTTTTGTTTGGTCCTACTACTAGAATTTATATTTAAGTATTCGTATTGTTCACTGTCAGAAGAACTCTTCTGAATCAAAGCAGTGAAAATCTTCCCAATATTATCTTAATGATATTTTTGTGAATAGATGAAAATGATATTGTTATGCTTATTAATTCCTAAATTAATTCTAAATCAACTTTTGAAATCATTTTTTGATCTAATCTAGTTGTTTTTTTTTTTTTGATTTAATTCTGTCTAATCCGATCATTGTTAGCCTATGAATGATAATTGTCTTGTATGCGACATTTCGAATCGTTTCAATAGTATCTGCTAACTTTATCTATATAAAGCATCAGTTCTACATTTGATTCACAGGTTAAAATGTTTAGTTACATTCATCAGTAATTTAATCTTTAATAGCTACTAAAGCTCAAGTGTATTCGTGAAAGGGATGAATTATTTTCTGCATATATTTATTATATTAGATATGAAATTGATTTTAATAATTATAACCAAAACTACGAATCATTCTTTTTACAGATCTGTACCGTGAAATCTTTAGTAATTTGAGTCTGTTCGTCACTTTTTTCTTGCTTCGTCTTTTTGTCATGCGCAATTTCTAAAGTTGAGATTTTATTTTTCTCAATCTTTTCCGCATTTTTTATAACTCAATCACTGAATGAAAATTGCAAGTTCTTCATCAAGCTAAAACAATCATTCCAAAACAGACTGCGTTTAGAGTGATACTTGGAGATACTTCAATACTTTGATGGAATTATGAGGAATTATTAAACAGTAAACTAGTAGGAATTGAGAAAACAGAATGTACGGATTTTAAAATAACTAACATTCTGTAAAGGTATATACAATGTGAAACATTTAATATTTCAAATACAATGTAGAAATTAAAACTTTTTGTAAGACACAAATTATCTTTGTTTTGATTCGTAATAATGAAATTAATGCATGTCTGAACTGATGATATGTGAAATAGAAACGCAAAAGTAGGACCTTTTTGGTTTCCTATTTCTGTCCTAAAATAAGGATATATGAAGCAAAAAGAAACTGAATTAGAGATAATTTTAAAACACTGAAAAACAAATTACGCACTCATGGAATTTCGAAAGACTGCATTATGCATTCATCTCAACATTATGATACCTGACTGCTCCATGATGTTTTATACAAAGTAATGAAAAAAAAAAAATAATAATAATAATAATGCAGAGATGTTCCTGTAGTGAGGGTGAAAACATACAATAAATGCAAAAAGTTATTCATATTAAATGCAGGAATCATCAATAATTAAATCGGATAAGTCTGGCATTGCAGTCTTCATATTTGCATAGTCGTATATTTCGATATTTCGAGGCCTGAACAGGCTTTCAACTATCTGAACAAATCAGTTTTTTAAAGCTTCAAAATTAAGTTTTTTCATGCATATCAGTGGTTTACACATATCAAGTAGATGACATGAAATTTAGGTGACAGAAGTAAATTCGTAAAGTAGACTTCTTGAAGAAATAACAATTTGAATCAGAAAACAGATATTAAGCGAGAACTTTTGTTTTTTCGGTAATAATACGCACTCTATTATTAATGCGTATTATATTAGAATATCAGATAACATAAACTATTACAAAAATCATTTTGTTTAGCTCACAACAACAACATTAGAAAAAAAATCATGTGTTTATATGTTTGCTATATCGTCAAATGAATTATTTAATTAAAATTAACGAAAATTTATGGAAATACCTGCTTCCATCGCTTTCTTTGGAATCTTTCTCCATTTTCAGCGACCAGAACGAATGCTGAATGAAAGTTTTTTTTTTTTTTTTAATCTCATAAACTGATTAAGTTTTACTTTTTTCTCTTCAGAAAATTAGATAGTATTAGCATTTATAAACTTACCAGTGGCAGCGATAATCGGTAATGTAAAATTATTATAATGAACAATACGACCCCAATGATGACAGCATTTCACACAATTCATCTGCAAAAATGAACTGAAAGTAAAAATTACAGTTAAGTTTTTATTTTTTTATCTTTTAAATTTTTTAAAATGCTAAACATGTTCTTCCAAAACTTTTTTTTTCTACTAAATTGGCTATGATGCTACAATTTAAAAATTATACCGCTCCAATGCCTTTAAACAGAAAATCAGCTTCTCGTTCTATCATAGCTTTCGAAAATGCACGCTGAATCGAACGATTCCAAATTTCTTTGCAAACGCAAATATACTGCGAATAAGTGGGTGTTACGACAATGTCATTACTATTGCAAATAATTGCATCACATTTTCTAAAAATTAAGACACACAAATAGAAATTTTTTTGTTAATACAAAAAAAAATAATTTTTTCTTTTTTTATTTTAATTTTTTATAATTTTAGATGTAAGATGGATTGTTATAAAACCGGGATATGACCAATGTCTCGCCCATAAATAAAATACCACACCTATCAACACTAAATCTGCTGAATACTAAGTTTGTTAAATTCTGCAGTATTTTGCACTGAATAGTTTAGCAAATACTCAAACTTTCATCATTCTAAATGACAAACAACTCTATTGCACAAAATGGTTTAACGGTTTTTATTGACTACTTTGACTTTAAACATGGTGAATTAATTTGCACTAATCATATGACTAGTGAATTAATACATTTACCATATGAATAAAACATATGTTAGCAAGTAGAAAAGAAAAAAACCATTGATACTTATGATCAGATCTCAATGCACTAGCTTCTTTTTCAGTGATATCGAACGAACAAAACTAACTTGCATAATAATGTGTACCGGTTAGAAGTCAGTACAATCTTTTTCTCATCCAATAGCAGTTTTTTTCGGGTTCGCTCCATAATGTTCTGTTTTACACGCTCTGCTATCTAAAATTTTAAGTATCAAATCTTCTCATTTAACTATCTTCCTTTTTAATTTTTGGTTAACATTTAGCATAAAGTATTTGCTTCCTCAGCTAAACTCGTGTTTTGCAGAAATTTTTTTTTTTGATCTACACACATAAATGTTCTTCAAATAGTTACAATTCGAAATGAAATATCAAAAATAGATTTGACTGATAAAATATAACTAAAGTCATGTGTCTTTCCGTTCTTCTCAAATTTTTGTTTTCCTTAAAAATAATTGAAAACACTGGTACTAATGTTAATATTCTTTTTCATACTTCGTCCTGAAACCAATCCGGCGGTTTCTGACTGATCAACTTCAAAGCATTTCGCATAATTTGCTCTCGGTTGATATTTTTCTCCTCACGAGCTTGTAATTTTGCATCATTTGTTATCAAAACACAACGTGAATTTGCAGCTCGACCACGTCCTAAAATATTTGCTATATATTAATGAAAAATGAATGGAAATAAAGCTTCCATTCTTTATCAGTAATTTTTTGTTTAAACAATAAATTTCGATCATTTTTTAGTGTTATATCGAAATGATATTAAACCTATCAAATCATGCACCTCAAAAAACTTTTAACAATAATGTCGTTGGAATAATCTTTTGTAGATATTATATAAATGAGAGATGAGTACGTAATAAGTTGGTTTTATCACTGATTCCATAACAATAATCTCATTCTTAAATGAAAAAATAAGACTATAACACTTCCTACGAACTTTCAAATTATAGAAACGAATGCTGAATTTGTTGAATCAAAGAATGAATTACGAAACTCTTCGTTGTACATGTGCAATTTCATTGGTCACGTAATTATATTTGATGACAAGGTTGCACTTCTGAATGTCGATACCTTCTTCTGCGACCGATGTTACGCATAAAATTTTGATATCACCTGACGTAAATCGTGCCAGTGCATTACGTTGCTGATTGGCAGATTGACCACCAAACTCACCTGATGCATTGATACCTTCAAATAAAAAGTTCAAAATGATTGAGAGTGCAAAAACAGACAAACTTGATTTGTTCTAGATAGAAGAGAAAGAAAAAAGAAGACAGGATGAGAAGGAATGTAAAAGAAACATTTTTACTTTATTTTTTTGTATATGGATATATGTGACTTATTTCAATTTAACAGTGTAACCGATGCTTCTATTCCTTACTCGTCCTTTTCGTTTTAAAACACAAAACATACCAAACTTGAAAAATCAAGTACGACCTGACAAATTCAGACAATTCAGAATTCAAGCTTAATATAACATAGAAATTTCGTCATGAAAAAGTTGAACTCATATAAACTGCGTTGGATACTAATAAAAACACCATATGATTGAAAATTAATCCCGAATGTTTTAAACACATTTGAAATCCCGGAAATTTCATCTTGGTTTTTTAAAAATAAGGATTATTTTATCTACAGAAATACCATTTTTTTTTTTTTTTTTTTTGCTTTAAATAACGAATACCGTAATGAAAAGTACCCGTAATGAAATCCGATTTAGCATTCAACATATGTAAACTTTCATCTTTATTCAGTTCTTCTGCTAATTTTCCTGCAAAATATCGCGTCGATACGAAAACAATAGCGCGTCCATCTCCTAGTCTAGCAAACTGACCGCGTAATTCACTAAAATATTATAAATTTTTTCACAAAAAATGTCTAATGAAATGCAAATTTTTCAACGAAATTTAAGACTTATTCGAACAATCCCAATTTTATTCTGAGAAAACAAAAAAAGGAATTACCGCAAAAGTTCATTGTATAGTTCATTATCTGCATTATCCCCAGTAACAGTTTTTAAAGGGCATGCTAAAAGACAGCAAAAATCAATAATAAATCGTAGATAAATATATAATAATTAAAATTGAAAATAATAGCAATTAACAAGTAATAATAGTGAATACAATAACGAAATAGCTTTCGACGTCAACATGTTCAAATTAGCATTCAAAATGTGAGAATTTTTTTTAATTTGATAAAAGTAGATTTAGAAAACAGATATTAATGTGTTAGAAAAACACGTACCTTCCATGATATGCACGAGTTCCTGATCTGCAGTATGCCGAATAAAGCTAAATTCATTTTCGAAATACTTTTTGGCAACGCATGAAGGGAAATGAATGTAATAGTCTAAGGAACGAAACAAGATCTGAAATAAATAATTTGTATAATTTGATCTATAAATTCTATAAATTTATAAAATAAAATTTGATCTACAAAAAGTCCGTTTTTTGATGTTGAAGCTAGATTAGATAGTATTTTTAGGTGTAGTTAAGTAAAATAACATTTTTCTATATTATTCAATTACATTTGATAATCTAATCGTTAAAAGCAATGCTTGCATCTGTCTCACGCCAACCACATAACAAACAATTGTCGTGCATAAGAATATAAGGCACTACTAGTCAACAAATTATTACATTTTAGCTAAACTCTAAACATTTGCACAACTTTTGTTAGTTAATGCACGATTATATTTTATCATTTTATCAGCTAGTTCAAAGCATCCACTTCTCATGGTAGAATATTTTCACATTGCTGTTATAATTTATGCTTAAGCACAAAATTAAAAATTTATCTAATTCAAAATATTTAGTCAAACAATATTTTAAATTCGAAACATACCCCAATTAATTGCAAACACGTCATTAGATGAAAACGAATCACCCTGTCAAGCTTTGCTAACGGTACAAACCCGACCAACAGCTGAGAAAACCACGTTTCATACACTGAAACATGGTTTATTTTTTCAAGATTAAAAATGAAAGTTGAATAAATTTCCAGTAATTGTTTCAATTTTTTAAAAAAAGAAAAGCACTTTTAAAAGACACTAACAACGTAAACTAACCTTTGGAGCATTTATCATGTGGTGGATTTAGCAATTTAAGGAGTAAATCTTGGTTTGAATTATCATGTATTTTGTCGGACATGGAAGCTGATCTTACTAAAATGAACAGCATCTACAAATGTCATCCAAATTGGATTTTAATAAGAAAACTTAATTGAGGCAAGTCATACAAATTCGACAGAAAATTAAGGCTACCGATTGATATAGATTTTATTGAAACTTTACTGATACGCCGCTATAAGTACGAAAGAAACGTTATACTTTTAAAGTGAAATAGTTTAAAATACATTAAAACGTTAGAGTAGCTTGCTGGAAGATACATAACTGGTGATAATTTAATCGACTTCAAAGCCGAATGTTAATTAACTGATAATTTTGAGTAATGAAGTCAAATTATATACCAATCTTGCTCAAAAAAATTTCAAATTGCTTGAAGAGATTCAAGATACCAATGACTATTGAATCAGTTTTTATATTGAACGGAACCAGTTTCGTCTCTACAAAAGGTTTTTTTTTTTTTTTTTTCACTAATCAGGAAAATCTACAAAACAATTAAGAGTTCATTTAATAAGTTGGAATTTAAGTTGAAACTGAAAAGCCTCAAAACATAACCTGAACTGAAACAATAAAAAATCAAAAGAGAAGAAAAGTATGTACGATTCCCACTGGAGTAATTCAATCGTATTTAAATATAAGCAACAAGATAAATTTTCAGCTATTCAGGAAATAAAAAACTTCAAAATTCTTACCGTCAGCAGCAATAGAAGAAAACGCACGGAGTTCATCGATGTTTTCACGTACGTAGCTTAGAACAGTGATATCCAAGTTCGCACATATTTTAATAAAATGTTCTACTGCTTCCGAAGCATTTTGAGCACTACCAATACCCAACGAAGCTGTCAAACCAACAATCTGCAAAATGCTAGTATCAAAATTCATAAGTTGATAGTAACTATATTTATATTTACAAAATTTTGGAAATTTGATTTGTGTAGCACATGCAAAAACAGAACTATTCATTTATATTGATAATTTTCTTTTTTGTAAAAAAGCTTGTTGTAGTGCTACTAAACTGATTTTTTAATAAATATTGTCTAATATAATTGATGAATTACAGATTAACAGTTAAAATATGTTGATTGATTGTTAATCTATTCGAAAAATAACATTCAAATGATAATGCAACACATTAATATCATTATCCTTAAAACAGTACCTGAGGTAAACGTTTTCCATCCAGAATCTTGCCGGTGTGTTTCATGTCATGATAGTTATTCATTATTACTAAAACAGATGATTTTTAGCAAAAAAGTATTCTACGGTATAACGAATAATTTTCCGATATTTGGTAATTAAATTAAATTATCACAACAATAGAAGATAAATTTTCATCTTTCTTGTGATTATAAGTGATAAAGTTTTGAAAATACCATTATAGGGATGATTTCCATCTGCATGATGAGCTTCATCAAAAAACATTAGCGAAAATGACGATAACGAAAAAAGCACACTGTTTTTTTCATTAGAATCATTCATGAGATTCCTGGAATATTAAATGATGCAAGAACAGTTGGAAATGATCTTGTAATCAAATAATAATGGCAATTCTGTTAGAAAAGCGTGAAATGGCCAGTACTCAATTACTTTGTAAATTACGTAAATGTTTCGATGTGAAACAATTTATTAAAAATCATTGAAAGAAGTACGATGTTTAAATTTTTCTATTTGATACCGATTTCTCATTTCAAAAGTCCAGAAGTTATTCTATAAATTTTCATACTTCCTGTGAACAATAAAACAAGAAATTTTAAAATACACGTAAAAGTACTAACACAATAAGCTGGGGTGTGATAACAATAACATCATGAGTTGCAATTGTCTCCGCAACAGGTGTATTCGCCGCTACACCGCATAAAAAGACAACTTTCCAGCGATGTCCAACAAATCTCTTCAACAACTTTGTCTGTTGCTCCAGAAATACTACATTGGTAACGAAGAAACAAATCTAAAATTTTCTGATCATTCTTGACATTAGACGTACAGTGAACAGAAATTTTTCAAAAACAAAGAACTTTGAAATACGTGTAATTGACTTGAATTAATGTTCCGACAATATTGATACAAATACTTTGTTGATAACTTCTTTTAGCTTTCGACAACTTTTCACTTTTCAAATTTCATAAGCTATTCAAAAACACTGAAGCTAATTGAAGAATTAATAGCAAAACTTGTTGCTAAAAAATACTAAAAAAATATAAAAAAAAATTCTTTTCCAAGACAAAAGACTTTAAAATACGTGTAGCTGAATTAAAGTTCCAACAAAGTGAGATTGTGAAATCATTAAAATTTTGAAATACCTTCGTATGTAAATTATTTTTCCTGCCCATTACAAGATGATTTCGAGCGATCGATGCCGCTACCACAGTTTTGCCAGTTCCTGTTGGTGCACAAATCAAAGTATTTCGTCCATCGTAAGCTGGTTGAGCTATTTCTTCCTGATATTTTCGTAAAACCATAACTTCACCTGTAAAAAAGTTTTCTCTAATCTGTCGCTTTATTTGTTCTGTTTCGTAAATTTCATCTCTATGATGAACATAAAGATTTTCATAAGCTATTCTATAGACAAGCACCATATGCAGAGTTTGTATTTATCGTCTTATTCAATAAAAGTGCACTAAAATTATTAAACTCATCAAAATTTCCTGCATCTTCTCCAGCATTCTTCACAGAAATAACTAGTTTAAGATGTAATGAAATAATTGACTGATTATAATGTTTTCTTATTTATCTTAAATAACATTAGAATTATCCTAAAAAGAAATAAGAAAAACCTTCATAAATATCATCCTTGGCTGCATCTGATGCATTGACAGGAAAATGCTCATAACGTAAATCAACTATGCATGTCTTGTCCAGTTCATTTGATCTTGAGCTCATAATAACATCAGCTATTGAAAAATCACATTCGCAAAAATAAAGTTTCCCTGGGAAAAAAAATAGAATTATGGAAATGTGACACCAAAATGTTATCGACAAATCTGAGACGCATGCTTGATAGTTAAAGACAAAAATGAATGAAGGAAAAAATGGGCTGATGAGTATTTTCCTCAATCAATCTCATTTTCTGAAAAAACCTCCAGTGCTTATAACTGTACACTGGATTGACTTAAGCAGGAAACTTGAAAATTTTTAAATCAGCCTCTTAGGATGAATAATGTTAGTTAAAAAAGAAGTAGGAAACTTGAAAATTTTTAAATTAGCCTCTTAGGATGAATAATGTTAGTTTAAAAAGATGAAAATTAGAATTATCATTTTTAGGAATATCCTACTTAATGTTTCCTAATTAAAAACTGTTGTGTTGCAAAATCTGCCTCTCAGAAGTGATAAAATATCAGGAATGATTAAATATATGAAGGAAATCATTGTTATATCAAAGCAGTAATATTACAATCGTCTAAAAACTTTGTCAAAAAGTTTGAAGGAATGGAAATGAAACAAAAGATGAACATAAACCAAATAACGAACCCCACCCAACCTTTCAGAAAGCACTTCGAAAATTTCAAGACAAAGTGTATAGACTTTCCGTACAGCTGCCTTCAGTTGTCGTTTACAATTTAAGTGTTAAATTTGTAGAAAAACGATTACGAAAAAACACATACAAAGCAAAAACGTAATTAAACATATGTTTGGAAAATGGAACCAAAAGTTTGGAAAAAAATATGTAATTCACAATTAATGCAGAATTCTCGTCTAAAATTATGAAATAATAATCCGTCTTTAAAGTAGAAAAATTAAAGCAAAAAAAATGAAGATTCTGAAAAAAACTAAACAGTGATTAATAACAGATAACATTCAATTTACAACAAGCAAATAGTAGTTCATATAGATTAATAAATGCAACAAGCAGCCAAACCTCTTTCCATTCTCTTGCGTTCATGCAGAAACAAACCTGAAGTGAAACAAGTCGATTAAAAAATGTATAACAATTAGTCAATCAGTATTTATCTATGTATTTATTTTTTCAGTATTTATGAACAAAACTAACACACTATCAGTAACAGTAACAGAATAAGAAGCAAAAATTCTCACTGAAAACATATTCCAATGTTAATTAAAATCAAAACAAAAAAAAACACCGGAAATTAAGTGCTTCTTATTTGCAAATATAACAACATCTTACGATAATTTCGTTCAAAACCAGGATATGTTTCCGTTACAAAATGATGAGCAACATCGGAGCAAGCAGCCACTGCGTTCAATAAATCCAGGAATGCTCCCTCACCCATATCAAGCATCGTTCGCAAAATGTATTTCTTAGCAGATTCTTCTCCTTTAAAGAAATATGAAATAATAAAAAATAAAAATAATAATATCGTCAAAGAAGTATCAATTAAACTATCAAATAAACTATTGCAAAAATAAATTTTCGAAAACTATATAAGTCCATTTGTTAGCAAAATATCGAAAGCGATATATTTGATAAGATTATCATTAATAGTACATCTTTTACATTTATGATTCACAAAATTTCTACTTAAAATTTCAAAAAAAAAAAAAGTATATCACTTTTTCCCCTGAAATTTTAGAAAGAAGTTTTGAGAATCATAAGTGTGAAAGATCTCTGAAAAGTGACACTAACAAATTATGAAGTTAGTGTATTACGGATTCTGTAAATTATTTATTAATGATCTTCCACCAGTAACATTTTTATTATACTTCCACATTTATAGCAGATACGATCATCCTTACTTGAGTTTTTATTAATTTCAGGAATTTGCAAAAAAAAAATAAAGAGGAAGAATAACAAAACAGCCCACCCATTTGCTCAATTATGTTTTTCACTGGCATCATTAAATTAGCATGATGCCGGCTTATGCAGGAAATCTTTTCGCACATAATATCAGGCTTCATATTTTTAAAAATTTCATCGAAATTTTTTAGAACTTCGATTAAGTCGAGTAAATTGCTTCTAAAATTGATACGTAACAACCGCCTATGAAGCTTCTGATCGCCTAAAAAGATGATCATTTCCAAAAAATTTCAAGCTAAAATTTTAAGCTATCAAATTTCCCAAAAAATTTTAAGATATGGTATGCAAACATCTCTTTGATGATGCATATAACAAAACCAATAGAAATTTTCACTTCACCTTATGTCGAACGCACAACATTCAGACTAGGAATATCTGATGAATTCGGTGATAAACAATCGACAATGAAATAATGCGATAATCTCGTACTTTATAATCACAATTTTATTTTTTACAGATAAGTTTGAAAAATTCCTACTTAATGCTTCTACTTAATGTTCAGCACAAAGTTTAATTCGTTAAATCAACAACTTACAAGATAGGAGGAAAGATAGAACGGTTTCGAAGAGAAGAGTACGTGTCGGTGCTTCCCATAGTCGTTCCCATAGTTTTACTGAGAATTCATTCCAGTTAAACTGATACTGTTCGGTAAGAGTTTCATATTCGTTAGGTTTAAGAAGTAAAGCAAACTTAACAGCTTCCACATGATGTAGCGCAATTCTAAAGAACAACAACTATTAGTTACCAAAAATGAACATTGAAATAATAAATGTCTCATCTGTTATTCTATCTAGCAAAGAATAGTTGATATTCATATTCGAAATTAAATTATATTGAAAAATTTAATTTTTCAGCAGTCAATTTAGCAGTTACATAAACAACCAAACAAAGTGAATTTGGGAGTAAATAATTTCTCTTTTTAACAAACTATTTCAATAAATGATATTGTAAATGAAGTAATTAAACAAACAAATATTACTTAAAACAGAAATCTTAATACAGAACATTTGAGCAACCTTAACAAAAAAAAAAAAAAATAATCAAGCTAGACAAGTCATGTAATTGAGATTTAATGGTCAAATCCATCATTTTGCTTCTACCATATTATGTGTATTAATTTTATATGCATACTGTTTTCATATTGTTCTTTGAAAACAGTGGAATAAAACAAATATATGTTTGAAGATGGTCAGTTATTTGTAAAAGAAACTTCTTTATAGCAGAATTACCTTTTCATAATTTCGTCACTATATAAATATAGTAACCGTAATTCTTGTTCCGGCAACATTGCATTAACAATTGCTATTCGTAAATACTGCTACAGCAACGATAATAATAACAATAGTATCTTGCCAATTCCTTTCCTTTTTCACTTATCAACCAAATTTAAAGCCAATCCAAGTAGACCTGATATGTGAACGACAATTAGAATTTCACGTCTTCATTCAGAATTAAAAATAACGAAGAAACAAGAGAAAAGAAAGAAAACAGTGAAAGTTCAAAACAAATAAACATTTATATGAGAATTTTAATAAAATGAAGAAAAAGGCTAATAAAATAATATTATCAAAGAAATGTTAACAAAATAGCTTCTTCAGGAAAGAAAAGATGTGTAACACATTGCGTTACAACGCTGACTAAAAGATATGAATAAGAATTAGACAGAAATAAAACTAACCATATCGCTTTTTCCAGCTTTGTCCAAAATAAGTGAAATATTATATATAATTTTACAAATTGGAAAAAAGTACCGAAACACAAATGAATTAAATAGTGGCGTAAAAACAAAAACGAATGTAAGTTATAAAAGTAAAATTATAATATTAATATTATTCGTAAAAAAAAAAATACATTGAGAAATATAATGATAATAAACATTTCATAATAACAACAACTACCAATCTCAAATATTCATTATTTGACAAAAAATAGGAAAAAAAATGAATTAGCAGAGAGAAAAATAGGTAGAAACAATGATATGATCGAAACTTTAATAAATTATAAAAAAAAAAAAAAAAAAACAAATAAATGAAAGAATTGAAGCTAAAACAATACACGAAGAAAACTATAAAATGAAGGAAAATGGCACTATTACGTGTGCTTATCACTTGAATACGTCAACATTTCACAACAATTATCTAGCCCACCATTATTACGCCGATTACGTAGCCATACGCAAGACCATATCGATACCCATACAACCATTGTAACTGCATATTGCAGACAAAGCTAGACGGTTTGCATGCAGGTTGCAAACAAACCTCAAAATCGTATATTACTTTCTTGCTTCATACTTTTGCTTACCCTCTCTCCACCTCGCTTTTTCTCTGCTGCTACTGTTATTGTTAAATGTATCTGAAAGATTTTTCTATTATTAATTATTTTATTTCATTTCATTTTAATTAACTATTATAAGACTTTTTCATTAACTATTTACTTCCTTCTTTCTTTATTCTTTCTTTTCAATCCTTTTTCTTTAACTAATAATCCTACAAAAAAAAGACAAACAAAAAGGAAAATTTATCATAATGAAAGGATGAAACGAACGATAAGACAAATTCTACCGTATGCCACAGTATAACTCTGTTTGAATATTATTCTTACCGTATACAACAGTTATAATTTTGAATACCGTTATTACCGTATACAACAGTTATAACTTTGAATATTATTGTTACCGTATGCAACAGTTATAACTTTGAATATTATTGTTACCGTATGCAACAGTTATAACTTTGAATATTATTGTTACCGTGTACAACAGTTATAACTTTGAATATTACTGTTACCGTATACAACAGTTGTAACTTTGAATTTTACTGTTACCGTATACAACAGTTATTATTATTGTTTTGAACATTATTATTCCCGTATACAATTGTTATAACTTTGAATATTATTGTTAGCATATGCAACAGTTATATCTTTGAATATTATTGTTACTGTATAAATGATGCAATTTGATATCACACAATCACATGTATCGTATGTATAACACAAAATGGAAATTTTCAAATAATAATTATTTTTCTGAATAAATGTGAGTTTTTAATTATTAATAAAATAAAATAAGGAACAAGATAGTAATAACACTAATAATAAATTTTTTTAGGTTTCATTTTTATTAAAATAAAAACAAAATTTTGATCTATTAATTACTGATAAAAAAAAATAGATTTCTTTTTTACCTTATCAGCAACATCATTTGATTCACTCATTATATCAGTGATATAAATGATTGATCATTTTCTTTTTTTTTTGCTAAAAATTAATTACGATTTTACTCAAGAACATTAGTAATATATTACAAACTACATTTCTTTACCTAATGAAATAATTATTACAGCTTTATATATGTAACATGGTTATATGCATACAAGTATTTAAAATTTTTAAAGCTATTTTAAAAGATATGGCACATGTGAGAAATTAGATACAATTAGTATTAGAATAATTGCATTCAATTTTCCACCAAATTATGCATAAATTTTTTACTACAAATATTTTTTTTTAAGAGAAATGATAAGAGTATCAGCTATTTCTTCTTCTTATATATTATTTGTAATATTTTTTGTTTTCATTTTATATTCGCATATTTAATTCAAAGAAAATGTAATGCAATTAATCGAACCTTACACTTCCCTAGTATTTTTTCTTTTTTGCATTGACATATGCATTAAAATGAGTTGGATAAGATGAAAATAATTGATTTGTGTACGTAAATTTTAAATGCTGAATTTTGATTTTCACTTATTTCAATTCAATTCAATTTAATGTAGTATTTCAGTTCTAGTATTTCAGTTCTGCATTGTATACAATCCGTTCAACTCGATTCAATATACTTTAATTAGATTTAACATTGCTCAGTTGCTTTCGAATGGATTCAATTCAATTTAATTTCATTTTAAAAGCACATGCAAAATATATATATATATATAAACTACTTACACATGCAAGCAGCAATAGAAGCAAGAGTAATCTTGCAGTTTATTTTCAAAAAAAAATTTTTTCTTTTTTTTTAAGCCGATTTAAGTTAAGAAGATTTTCATCCAATAAGATGAGTTGAAACTTTTTTTTTTTAAACAGAAAAAGAGAAGGAAGAAAAAGTTAGTATATGTGTATCATAAAGTTAAAATTAAAATTGTATTTGAGTTATATTTCAACAAAATATAATCAATAATATACGAACAGTAGCTAATTTAATGTATAATTTAGTGAATTTATTATATTTCAACTGATTAAAATGTAATAAAATTATTAAAAAAAAGCATAGTTAAATATTAGCTGCTATTTTTTTTTTTGTTGGTTTATATTTTATCATTTATACTTTTATCAAATATTGCAAGTAAAACTAAACTTTTTCATCTCGTTTTTCTCTCTCCTTTTTTTTTTTTTTTTTTTTTTTTGTAAAAAAATATAGCTAAAGCAAATTTTTCATATTTTAAAAATTTTATTCCTCCTGAACAAATTATCAAAATAGATTGAACAACAAATTGGAAATTAGACTAGAAGTTGGGAGAAAATGGGACCTTATTGAATTTTCTTTCATTCAATTCAGTATTATCTTTTACTTCGTTATTCTCGTCAAATCGCACCATTCATTTCCGATTATTTTTACTTCAATTTGTTAAAATAAAAATTCATCGCAAATTTTATTCCTTATACAATTTTATTATTTTAATAAACAAAAATTTGCCATTTATCTTTTATCAGTAATTTGATATTTCCCTCATTTTCTTTTTTCAACTTATTGATAGTTACACTATTATTGATACTAGACGAAAGTAGTAATTAAGAATGGTTAATGCTTTTGTTTTATCTTTTTAGCCTAGGCCATATTTTTATTCCATTCTTGGCTGGACTATATTTTTTGGCAATATTTCTTTCCATTTACAATTTTTTCTCCCATATCTCTAAATTAAAATAACAAAAAAAAAAAAAAAACTTCGCAACAAGATTGGCTTTTTAAACTAATTTAGTAAAATGCATTTCTTTTATATCATTCAATATTATTTGCAAATTTATTCAGCTTTATTACAAAATAAAAAAAAAAAAAACTTCTCATTCAAGCATAAAATTTGAAAATTGAAATTTTTCATGAAATTTATGACTCTATTATTAAATCAACCAATATGTATAATTATCAATGGAATTGATGTAAAATTATACGGGATGCTTGTTTGATTATTTTCATTAGAATTTTGATAATTTGAAAAGAGTGACATCGATTGTTACTGTCACACTATTATCATGACATCAAGTGGTGACATTTATCCATCATTGTCATATTACTATCACCATGTCATCATCACATTAATGGTTACCTTCAAATAATTTATTCTTTCTTTGAATTCAATTTAAATTCCTACACTTATTTGCAATGAAACCTCTTTCTTCGTTTTTTAATGGGAAAGAAAAAATACTTTCCGAATTACCGAATCGATGAGTTTACACAAAAAGCTATTTTTGTTGTGTAATAAAATTTACGCAGAATATATTTAATCAATGAAAATTTAACAAACATTTTGTTTTAAAAATTAATATATTAGTAAATTATACAAATAATGCGTATATCAATAATAATTTTTAATGAAATCATTAGTAAAATTACTAGAAATTTCTTTGTGATCTTCTTTGTGATTTCTTTTTGTGGAAAAAAAAAATTTTTTTTTTTTAAAATACTTCTTCGTTAGTGTAAGAATTTAAAAAAAGACAAATTTTTCTTTAACAAAAAGTTGAAATTCAATATATTTTAATCTTTGCTTTTTTTTTACCAACTTTTTTTCCCATTTTTTTTTTTTTGATTTTATTAATTATGAGAATGTTGACAATAAAAAAAAAAAAATTTATTGCTTTCTAAATTGCAATTAATATGTTTTTTATTCTGTTTTTATTCTAACACAAAGTCTTTAATTATTATAATTTGTTGTTAAATTGTTTTCGTTTTTTTTTTCTCTCTCATCAATTATTTGAGTTTGATTATAAAAAAAAGTAAAAAACAAAAAAAGTTTTTCCTCTTCTTTTTTTTTTTTTTTATTTTCATGAAAACAGAACACGAAAAAAAAAAAATAATTGTTGTTTATGTTGATTGAGTATAAAATAAACACGAATGACAGACAGGTGACAGATTTAATTAATATGCAGATGTTTGCTTGCATGAATGCATGCATGTACTTCTTTTCATTGTTTCATATTTCAATGGTTGACAACTGTACCGGTGACAAATAATAAAAGATTCAAAAGGTTGGGTAGGTTGCAATGAATTAATGAAAAGAAAAATCAGGAAAA